GATTACTTAACTTGCCTTCACAGCTTGAGAAATCACCTTTACTAACTCCACTCCATCTGACATCACTTAAACTTCAAAGTTTACTTTGAGGCCTAGAGTCTTTTTGGTGGAACATCATAACTTAAGTCCCATCTCACACATACATATAAGCGTTTTGCTTCCCAGCAGCAGTAAAGGAGTCTTTTACATCATAAACCCCTTCCATCAGCAGCCACGAGAATATGAACTGTGGTTTTTTACTTTACTGTACCCATAGTAGGAATTCAGTAACAGTAATACCTTCAGAGACAGAAGTCACACAGATGCATTTCCATCAGTGTTTGTTCTTCCATTACCTCCCCATTACACAGGCAAAGAAATAGCTTTTTTTTCTGTTTGTGTCAGGAGTATTTCAAGCTAGAGAAAAAGCCTGTATGTACAGCTGTCACAATTGTCCCATACTAGAATACTGGTTTCAGAGGTTTTTCATCTTCTATTCATCTATGCTATGTTGACAAGCATCCAAATACTTAAGTGTGGACATCTGAAATCACCTTTTGTAACGCTGACCTTTCTTACCAAATTGACTGCATACCCTGCATGACTGTACTGAACATTTAATCTTGTGGAAAAAACAGATGTCTCTGGGATATCACTGGAGGACAACTAGCTACGTGTAGTAAAAAGAAAGCAGTAATTTAAATAATTTAATAAACCAGCTGCTGACAGGTAGAAAGGCTACAGATACATTCTAGATTGGAATCAGAACAATGAGCTACTTATGATTTTGAATAGAAAACCTGCCTAGGTAATCCTATCGTACTTTGCAACCCCAACAATCACAGGCTAGCATGATGAGTATTTGTCATCTCCATCATTAAGGAAGCATTTGCTCTAATACCTGTGGCATGAATATTTATCAGTAAAGTGGGACTACTAAAATTTCTGAGTCAGAAATAAATTGATCAAGATTATAGAGTGAGTCAACGCAGAGCCAGAAATAGCATTCACAAGTCCTGACTTTCAGCCCTGTGCTCTAACCACTACACAGGTTCCTTAAGGCAGTTGAAAGATGTAATTAATGTTTGTAAAGTAATTTGAATCCTTGGATGGAAAATGCTATGACAATAGCAAGGTTGGAGGAACAGAAAACCACGTTAATAGAAGAGAAACAATAGCCATAAACTCCTGGGAAAGGCCTTTCGTACTCAAGTGCAATAAAAAGGTTTTTCTTCTAGAAAGTTATAAAAGGCCTTTAAGTTGATTGAAATCAAACAAGTAACAAAATTTATCTCACAGAGCTGAGCCAAGCTAATACCACTGTTTTATTCTCATGGTTCCAAGGTGTTCTAAATGTTTGAAGCAATTTAAGTAAAGAATGATCTGAAGTCTTAAACACGCTGCGATTGCTTTTGTTTTCTTCATTTAGTACTACTTTGCCCCAAATCTGAAGAAAATGCTAACCTGCTGCTAAGATGGATGCCACCCCAGCAAACACAAAGGCAGTCTTTTCCCTACACACCTTGGTTGGTTTCTTTACGCTGGAGGTAGCGATGATGTGCGCTGGAAATGCTTTTGTCGTATTTTATATTTAGCAACAACTGATCAAACGACAGTCCTTGCAGACAACTGGCGCTTCCAAAGATGACTTCAAGGGATAGTCACAACATCCAACCTTGATCCCTTGCGTTTTTGAAGCACCCACCTCTTGTTGGTAACATTTTGCCTCCTAGTGGAGAGCACCCATACAGAAAAACTCCTCTCAGAAAAAACTGCAAGTGCTCTTTTCTTGTAAAAGAAACAATAGATTGTTTGCAAAAGGTTGAGACTATTAAAATTCAAGGGTAGATCGTGTAGAGAAACGGAAGTCACACTGTTTCTTAGTCTCTCAGCTGTATCACAGCAGAAAGAAATGCTTACTGTTTTTATTCCAGCCACTATTGCTTTCTTCCACCACTTGTTTTTACAAGCCCAAACCTTTCTATACCAGGTTAAGATGTTTGCCAAGAGCAAACTTAGACAAATCATTCAAGCCACTGACAGTCATTATGCAGCAACCTCACTTGCAGCACAGCTCTCCCCATACCTATTCAGTGCGCCAGTCCTCCAATTTACAACAGCTGATTGCATGGGAAAGCGTAAGGAAACATCTCCCTCCGTTCAATTGCAGTCACAAGTGTCATGTTGTGAATTGGGAGATTATACACCTTCTCTACAGCCTGAGATGAAGAGCTGAAAACTAGCACATGGAATTACTTCTTAGTTACATCATACCCAAGAGCAACCAATTCCAGAGCCACCAATAAACAACCCCCCCCAAATTAGTATTCCATTATCCAGCAGCCCCTCCACAAGAGGGGGAAAAGTACAGGCTCCTGCTTATCAGCTCTGAGATTTTTCCAATTAGGCTGAGAATAAAAGAATAAGTATTTAAGTAATAAATGCTGGAGTAGAAGTTACACTCCTGCCTCAACAGAACAGTAAGGGAAAGCAGGGTGTTGCTGCATACCCAACGTGTTTTCAAGGCAGCAGGCACTTCAGCCACAGAACTTGCCTATACCGCAGCATTGTACCAGTCAGACAACCAACTTACACTGAACGTTAATTGGCGGCAGTAGTATCACTGTGGTTCAGAATATGGTTGTAATTTTGCAGATACTAACCACTTAAGTGGTAGTTGGCATTTAGGTAGCATCACTGGCTTCAAGACAAGACACTAGGGAACAGAACTCCTTGTCTGTATTTAGCTGGTATTCAAGGACCGAGAATGGAGAACATGCATTGGTTTCGCTGGGCTCTGGAAGAGACCGCTAGAACAGAGCAGCTGCTTTTCTGCAAGAATTCTGCAGAATTACCCCTGCACCCACCCAGCTTAGCAAGCTGTCTAGGGTAAGGCCCAGAAATCACAACTCAGAAGCTAGCAGAATGGGGTATGTTCAACATGCAGTAGGGAAGAAATCAGCAATTTCAAAAATACCTGTGAATAGAGAAAAAGGAGAACAGGAAAGAGGATAAAAAGCAACCTGACAAAATGTTTTCTATGCATACTTTTATTAATAAAATATAAGATTTACAGCATATGTCAATGGACAGTGTGCTTAGAGAATTATCTAGTTGGATAGTATGACACCAAAGTCAGTAGCTGGTTTTGGTGAGGGTAAATTAAACCTCAGATGACATGCCAGGGATCACTGCTACTGACGAAAACCACAAAGCTTTCCCAAGACTACCTTTAAAACCCCCAACTCCATCCCAACATGCACAGCTGAGGTCCAAGAGGCAGTTTTGCTTGAATGTAGTATTGCTAGGAGGCTGCACTCTGTTCTATGTGAAATCTACCTGTTCCGTTCTGTGTCGTCTTCATATCCTCACTTCTTTTTGTGTCTGTGCTAAGCAACTTGTCAGATATTCAGTGCATCGTTCGGGATATAGATACGCACAAGAGCAGCAGTCTTGATACCACGACCATCGATCTTCCCAAAATAGCAGTTATTAAACCTACGCCATTCTTTGCAAAATGGAGATGAATGTTACCAGCTCTGATGCAAAAGAAGCGTCTAATTACCTCTTTGCCCTTGCGAGAAGATAAAGAATAAACCTTGGCCCTGATCCTGTAAACACCTATACACATGATTAATGTTACTCAACAAGTTGTTTCCTTAACTATTAGCAACTATAGTCATTTGAGTAAAATTAGTCACATGCTATGTAAGTACGAGTAGGGCCTACTAGTTTATTCACCCATTGGAAAACAGCTGCTGTCCCTGGGGCAGTTAAATTTTTTACAAGGCTAACAGGTGAGAAAAAAAAAGGTAAAATCCTTACAAAGGCTCATGGTCAGGCATGCATGTTACAAGACAAATACTGTATTTAAGAGAACCAGATCTAATAAAGATTAGATTTTTTACATTTTCAAACCACTGCACAAGGACTGAAAGAAATTAGAGTATGGTTGCAATAGTAGTCTTGTTAACAACCTCTAACCCAGCCATAATTTTACAGCAGAAACAGTATCTTAGTTGTTCAAATAATAGAGGTATTACAATAACTACCTATAACTAAGCCACAGAAATAATTTAAATATAGGTAACTGAAAAGTAAAAGTTCTCCCAGTCAAAGTAAGTTCACTATGACTTCATTCTGAACATTTCCGTGAAGGAAGAATAAACCTAAAAGCACAATTAGCAAAAATATCTGGAGGTAAAAACTCATGAGCCTTATAAAGCATCAATATCTAGTTCATCTTTGGATAAGCCTTATTTGCTGAAGAGTTTAAATCTCTCAAGTAACTATGAACACTTATTTCATGCAGCTTCTGTACTCCACGTATTTTCTGACCGTTGCACCATTTAACATTTCTGTAAGTGCAGTAACTTTGCAAAGCCAAAAGCCAGAAGAAACACTTGCATGGTAAAACTACATTTCCACTCAGTTACTGATAGCAATAAAATACAGAAAATAGAGCATCTCAGAATGCAGTGTAGTAATTATCTATGTAATCACATGGTATTTTGTACTACATAACATCATACTGCCAGACAAGAATTCAGACAACTTTTTAAAAAGCCACAGGGGACTTTGCGCTTTAAACAAGGCATTAAAGGTATCGTATCCTAAAACAAGGCAGTAAAAGCAGGACGAAACTAAACATTAAGACATTAGTCCCATAAAATGGATTTTAAAACCTGAAAATTCTATTCCTGTTCCAACTGAAGCAATAGTTTAAAAAAAAGAGCCTTTAAGGACACTGGAAGAGTAACTGACCTGTTCAGATCATGGCAAAATCTGACAGCAGTTTATGGTTTTGAAATGGAAGTGGTCAACGCATACTATGGCTGGTATTCTTGTCATTCATGAATGAATGCAGATACTTGTGAAATCCCTCCCTCTCTTCATTCCCATGAAAAATAATTAATACTGGTTAAAATCATTACAAAAAACATCATTTTATTTTCATGCATCTAAGGTAAAACACAGAGTATTTGTATAAAGAGGTAGATTAAAAAAAAGAAAACAGATTCTCCATTCTTTGTCACTTTTATTCAGTAGTTTGTTTGTTTTTTTTCCTTATTTTCTCTTTTTTTGGTGCCAGACACGGCAAGGAGTGATTACAGTCAACTGTTTATTAAAACATTTGTTGCAACACAGACCCCCTATACCACTGACCCCAAACGGACCCATTTCATGTGCTTTATTTCGTGTGTGTGGTTTTTTTTTTTTTTCTATACACCACCACCAAGGCTAGGTGGAGGGGGATGAAAGGGAAAGGGGGAGTCCAGGAGGCCAGAAGGAGGAGGAATGCTACAAGCCACAGCAAGAATGAGCTGTATTTAATAAAAAAAGGGGGCCACGAATGATACAGTAATGAGGTTACACAATTAAATCCCATAGCATGATTGAAGGCTTTCCCTGTGTTTGACGTCATCACAATGGAAGGCATAAAAAGTGGAGTAAACCGATGTTGATACAGTCCAATCTAGTCCATTAGGCAAGATGGTGCAAGTAGTCATTTAAATTAAAAAGTGCCCTATCCTCACCTAAATGGCTAGCAGACATGGAGAAGAACGCAGTGACAGATCAACAGAGCTTTCTCCATGTAGCTATAAAAGTGTGTTGTCATATGGCACATTTTTAAACACTGGAAAGGGGTGCCATAATGGACCTCTCATTCTCTTTCGTTTACAGGTACAAATGCTAGATTCAACTATTTCAACTATGCAGGAAGTGGACTCTTCAGTTAGGAATGCCAACCCTAATTCATTTTGTCTTGAAATATATACAAGTTGTTTGTAGTAGCTACAGCAATGATGTTTTCCTTAGGATGCCAGGCTGTGTGTAGAATCTTCTTATTGAAGTCTAGGCTGTCAACACTGATTTCATCCTTCTTTCGCTTACCACTTGCGCATACTTTACGTGGCTTCAAAACGGTACGGGGTTTATTGTTTTCCCGGGATGCCTCTAAGGTGATGTCTCGCTTTGTGTTTCTGTCAAACATTCTGAAGAAGTTGTTGTAAGATCCCGTCATGACAATGCTACAGAGAGGGGGAAGGAAAAAATTAACAGTTCAGTTGAAAAGAACCTCCCCTTTTACGAAACCTCAGGGTTCCAACTAAGGTCATGCCTTATTATGTAGCAGAAAGCAGGCAGCCTTGCCCATAACTTCTACATTCTCAAGTGAAACTAAGACATTTGAATGTTTTATAGATATATATATATTTAAAAAAAAAGGTATCTTTCTCCTTAACTGGACCTTTTAAGGTACACACTTTGTTATCTAGCACTTCAATGCAAATGTTATCATTCAATTTGATTCTCATGCACACATAGGGAAGTGATCTAATGAAAGCCAAATACATCGGATTTTTAGCCATGTAATTTCAGTTACCCACAAGTTGCATGAATTTAGGTACTAACTAACATAACTAGTTTGTGATAATACCTTATAGGAGATCCTTATTCTGTATCAGCTTTTCAGAAGGACAAATACACCTACTTACTTCCCTGTCCTTCCTTTGCCTCAAAAAAATATTTGAACAGACAGATGCTAAGTTTAAAAAAAAACCACTGTGTCTGATGATACTGATAGGGATACAACGAGCTGATATACATCTAGCAAATAAGCAGTTAATGACATCATTAACACAAAGGCGATAGCTGCCTTAAGTGGTATTATTGCCTAGTCAACCATGCCTGAGCCAGGCAAACTTGACAACTCATTGTAAGGAAGAAGATTCCTAGAAGGCTTTTCCCAAGTGTTCTACCTTTTGACAAGGCAGCTTAAACAGAACACACACACGCAGGTTCCCCAACAGGCCTGGTGCAGATTCTTACAGATAGAACACGCGATCAAACAACCAGGTTTGAGTACATGGGCCTTATTCCCATACAAATCATTCCAAAGTCAGATCATAACAGATGACACAGGAGGAAAAAAAAAAAAAAAAAAAAAAAAAAAAAAAAAACACCACCACTAGGAATAATTAACCTAGTGGATTAGGGTATTGGTAGTATTTCACCAGTTAAAGTTTGCAGAAAACCATCTCTAATCTTACGGCTTTGCCCATCTCTCCAGTTTAAGCAACTGTAACATTAGATTAATATTTCATTCTGGCGAAGTGACAAAACTCCATTTCCAGTCAAATTCTACCTCTCCTCAGTACACTAAGGCAATTCTCTATAATCCTATGCTACAACATCAAGGGTTAAGAGCTAATATATATACGTTAAAGTCTACTGCAGTACTAAAATATTATCCAAGCCAGTCCATGATTAAAACCAGACAGATATTTAAGGCCATACTTCAAGTTGCCAGTTTTAAGAATAACCTGGAAAGGTCTTAAGTGCATATAGAGAAGAATTAAACTTGCCTGTCTGATCCATTCCAACAGCATTCAAATTTGTCAAAAATGCAATCATTCTCATACAGTGAGCAAAGTTTACTTCTGAGGTATTCATGCACCTGGAAAAGAGTTAGTTCGATAAACTGAACAAATACTGAATTTGCATACCTGTAGAATACCCTTCATAGATTCTGTTCCAAAAGTAATTAAGTATCTGACAGTGCTTACACCCTACCCACAAGAGCACACACAGCTCCCTCCTCTGACTGTATGGATAAAGAACAAAATGAACAGACACATGAATTACCATATTCTGCTCCACAGAGATTTCAAATGAACTCAAATAGTAGCAAGTCACTCAGGGTGGGGAAAGCAACATCTCCAAAAACTTGGCAATTCTTCAGAATGCTTTCCCCTCTGAGCAGTTGTCATACCCTCACTACCTTTTCAGATATGTGAAATGATTTATCAGACTTTGCTTCTTTCTAAAAATCATGCTTTGGTGACTGATCTTCCTCCTATGTTTGACAAAGAGGATCCCTTCACAAATTTTCTTATAAAAAGAGAACACCACATCAATTCTCAGTGCCAGCTAAAAACATTTCCTGCAAAGGAAATGTTTTACCTCCTATTTTCTCCAGGAAAGAACAGCAGACTATGAAAGTCAGCTGAAGACTCTGAGAGATGTGCTATCTCATGGCTGAAGATTACCTCTCCACACTTCCATTGTGTAAGAGGGAGGCTTTTTCATAACCAAACTGGGGTTTGGGTTCTGCAATCAGCCTGCAAATAGCAAGGTCCTTTAGCACGTGTGTGGAACCCACAAATCTCATTGATGCTTTGCCTGGACATAGTGATCTATAGACAAAAATTTAACTGCCACATCAAGACCGTTATTAAGACTGAGCATCCTTCAAGGTTTTAATTTCTAGCCTACATCATCTTCACCAAATACCTGGTATGTTTCCACAGGTCTATTTTCCATATTTAAATCCCAGATCTTCACTGACAGGTAATCTCTAGTCATCATATATCGACCACTATGGCTAAATTTGACATCAGATATGGAAGAGATGATTTCAGAGAAAAATGATCTGTTGCTAGGATCTTCTGGTTCTTCAAACACTGTATAAAAATAAGATAGGCATTTCAAGAGGTAAATTTATGTCTCTTGCATGTTCTTTTCTTTCTGTCTCTTAGAAGATACACCCAAATTATGTTAACATTTTCTCATTAAGCTTGCCACTTTGGGCTAGTCTGCCTGCACTATATACAATAACTTTCAACAAGAAGGCCTTATAATACAATTCCCATACCCTGAAACATTTTATTTTCATAGCAAGTCAAAGTCAGCTTCTAAATAAGTGAACTACTCATTAATATTCAAAGTCTTCATTCACACATAGATCTCTAGCATAAAGTACAGACTAAACAACTAGTATTTGACTTCCTGAAGCCTGCAGAAAGCCATTCCTAGTCCTATTGTCTAGGCAGACTCCCCAGCTTAAGCTGCTAATACTTTTATTCACTACTTTTACTCTGGCAAAATATAAAATCTCTTTTTAAGATTTATTTAGATTTTTAATCTATTCAATACACTACAGAAATCCAACACAAATATAGACACAGACTTCAGTGTTTAACAGATTCCGAGTGCTTAGTTTCATCTAACAGCAAGACACCATATTCCACGAAAAGACAATCAACAATGCAGGACAGAACTTACATTTTGAGTGTCTGTCACAGAGTGCTGATGCTCTCATATCACAGAGACGAATCGTTCCTTTACTGCTGCTGTATACAAATGTATTACAGCTGTTTGGGTGGAACTCTGCAGCTGTTATCACCTCTGTGAGCTCTTCCATGTTGGCAGGCTTAATATCTACAATATCTACAGCATTTTGTTAAGAAATTTTCCCCAGTTTTCATAACATGTTTTTCAGCTTTAAATATATTCAGCAATGCTTCTTCAGTTCGCCAAAGTATATCTGAAATAGCCAAACAGAATTAAAACAAGCCAATAAAAGCAAAATAATGCTCAAAATTTGGAAGCAGGACAAAGCTTCCACACCAAAGGCTGTGGGACCCAGTCAAAAACTGGATAGAAGTTAAAATTAAGTTCCACAATTTGTCTAGAAAGCAAGACCATAACATTGCATTCTGTATCAGTTTGAAGTTAATTCTTAACAGCACAAGCCTGCTTAATTTTTTGCTCCACTTCAGCAGTAATTAATTCCATACTAGATATATGTCACCCAAGTTTTCTCACATAGAACTTTACTTTGCTTAAATTCCAATTACACTACTACATTATAAAGAAGGCATGTGTGATTTCTGCTCAGGATCATGTTGATTTGTCCACAAATCTCTGCTCCCAGCAATGGGACTGAACACATATTCCTGTGATCCTACTGCCTGCGACATTTGTAGGCGCACATGCGAGAGGGGTTGATGGTTAGGTGAGAAGGTAAAAAAAACACCCCACAAACATTCTTGAGACAAGGATGGTAGTCCTCTGACTTGCCTCCTACTGCAACTCAAGAAAATTTTCACACAATAATTTACTGTAATGCCCCCTTCCAGAACTGCTCATCTAACTTGAAACCTTAAGCTTTTTTCTCTTCTAAAAGAGTCTGTTTTTCACCATTCAAATGACTAGTTCTCCTTATATTGCTCATGCTGAACCACCTCTCCAGAAGTAAAAGTCCTTACAACTACTAGGGAGAAATAACCAGGAAATGGAGAAACACGCTATATAAAAAGCTTTTCATGAAAGAAAATACAATCCAACAGTTTTGTTGTAACCAAGCTGTTCCCATCATATAAAACAGTGCAAAAAAGATACTAAAACTTCTGTCTGTAATTTCTAGGTGCCACAGGTTAATCCGCAAGTCATCTGCAGATAAGTACGTTTCATAATCGCTATTAATGGAGATGGAATTGATGTGATACGTGTGAGCATTGGCAAATATTCTTCGTGGACTAGCTTCAACCATGAGGTCCATGGGCCTGAATACTGGCACCTGCAAAAAACCACAAAGCAATGACAGTCTGAGATGCAAACGTACTACAAACACATTGGCACTCACAGTCCTTCAGTACACCAAGCCAATTAAAATATCTCAAAATCACCTGAGAAGTAAATGTGTCTGCCAGCTGGCATCACAGAAAATGTAAAGCTGATAATCTGATGGGGCAGGTACTCACTGAGCCACAGGCTAATCTGCGTCCCCGGGGGGAGGGAGAGAAGAAATCACTTGAATGCGGCTAATTCAGAGAGAGCAAACTACTCACCCGTAGTGTTGTAACTGTAGTAGGATCCCTATACCGTCCATCTTCTTCCTTTAAATTATAACCCTCTGGTCTTTTGTCCCTTTCACTGATTTTCCATAACTTTATTGTTTTATCTGAAATAAACCAGCCACAGTTTAAAATCAAAGTTCTAGCAAAGCTACTAGTCTTCACAGTTGATGCACTTTTAACATGAAGCCTTCAAACAAGACAAGACCACCTACATGTACCAAAAAAGACAAAAAATCCTGCTTGGAGAAAACAAGATAAAAAGCATTAAAAAGACCTCCTCCACAGTTTGTTCTTTTTATAGAAGTTATAGCAAGTTTCAGTTAGAACCAGGATTGTTATGAATGACTAATATAAGCTCTCACACAGTTAGTTATACACATACGAAGGTACTGAATGACAGCTTAGCTAAGCCCCTTTGCTATAAAGCAACCAAATCAAAAATGACTAAAGTACCAGCTCTTGTTGTGGGACTTCTGTATCCAGGTAAGACAGAACAACAGTAGAGTTAAACAGCGTAACTCTTGTATAGCCACATCCCTAGATACTTGCATTTAAAACCAACTTGCTTCCAGACTTTTCAAAGTAGAGAGGATTAGACAAAACCGTAATAGCAAACCAATGTAACAACAGGTTACCATGCAAAATTAACTGTTACGAAATGACTTACCATTTGTAGACAATAAAAACTGAGCAGCATTTTTCTGGGGTAACCACCTAATTTTGTTGATCTTCTCTTCAATTTCTAAACTTTTCAAGTAGTCAAACTCTGGTTCATGGCTTTGAAAGGTACTGTAAACATTGTATTCTCCCCTACTGTGAGACTGGGTTTTGTTCTAAAAAGAGAATTACATGATCAAGATACATATGCAGTGTACAGAATGCTTTTCAAGGCTGCTGGCAGAAGCCAGAACTAGATATTTATGCAGCAAGATACATAGGCAGATTGCTAATTAGCATAAGAATAGGTTAAGACTTCTATACCCTATTGTTGCCTATGCCAGATTTGCCACAAGTATCCTTTGGTGTACAACTTGCCTTACTGTAACGAGCCTGCAGAATGAACAAAATGAGGATCACCTCTTTTGCAAGAACTCAATTAGAGTTTCCACTATTTTGGCTAAGAAAGCATCAGAGAAAAAACAGTTATCGCAGCAGCTTTTGATTCCCAAAGTTTCCAGAAACTCCCCTCAGCCATGTGAATAGTATCTCCAGCAAGCTCTCATATTAATTCCAAGCAACTGAACTTAGAAACTAACATTTTGCCTAAACATTCTAGGGATTATAAGTTTTCTTCTTTTAAAAAACTCAAAAATCTTCATCATTCTCTCACCTCTAATTTTTCCACTTTTGTTTTTTAAAGAGAATATTCCCCAAGAGAAATACACAGCCACACATAGAGCAAATCTACTCTGTGGGTAAGTTCAGCTTGCTAGGCACACTATGGAAATACCACATGTCGCCTCTCAATTTATACGAGCAGCTCCACTATTCTGGTTCATAATCTCCACATTCCCTGAGACCTTCTAAACTGCTTAAGAAGATTTTTCTTCCTCATTCTGGAGATGAGGGGGCAAAGAACTTAACACCTCTGCTGAATACGTCTTTGACATTAAAAGTCACATCTGCAGTTAGCCTGCTCAGGATAGAACTGTTTGAAAAACTGAAAAACCTCCAAACTTGCCTGATTACTCTAAAAGCTTTGTTTTAGGCAGGGGCTTCCTAGCACTAATATTGCACTGCATGGACCAAACCTTAAATTCCCTCCAATGGGCAAGGTGACAGAAAACTGGAATTATTTCTGAAATAGCGCTCACTAGGTGTACCTGAAATTAATTCAAGCTTAATTTTGTGATATATTCCTGTTCCACCTTCTTCAAGAGGTTGCACCATCAGATGCCTTTCCTGTGATATGGTATTCACGAGCTACTTCGCTCCTTCCTTCTCTTGTATGTCTCATGTCCTTCCATCCATTTCATCCCTTAACACCTCACTAAAACATACTTCTTGATATGATCCTTGCTAGCCCACATTTGTCACATTCCTTGCATCATTTTCTCTTGCTTCATACCCTGACATTAATAGCCAGCAGGAATTCTTACATTTTACAAGAAGCTGTGGGGGAGGGAAAAGTAGACAAAATGCTTAGAAGTAAAGTTTGGCACAAGAATATTGTACCACACCTATCAATTATACTGGCTTTCCCACCCTAGAGAACGGAAGGAACTTTGTTCTAAGTTTCAGTTAGACCTAACAAGTTAAGCAGGGTCACTGCTAGAACAGGCGACATCTAAAGTATTGTGCTTTAGGAAATGCTGGTCGTGATTCAGTGAACTTTCCTTCAATTCCATACTTACCATAATGATTGAGTCAAGTATACTTCTTGTGTATTCTAGTAAAACTCTACAGGACTAGAATAATATATAAAAGGAAGAATATATGCAGTCCACCCTTGGGATAAAAGCAAAATTTAAACCATCAGACCAGCTCGTGGCACTCAAAAATAATAATAAAAAAATAAAAAATAATAAAAAAATAAAAATCAAAGCAAGAAGAGGTGTTGGCCCAAGTGCCTCATGTTAAATTCCAATTTAGGTAATTACAGGCTGCCTACGTAAATTCCTCCTTCGGTTTCAATTAGATACAGTATTCATTTCCTGCCTGATAGTTACGTAATACCCCTTGCTTTGCACTGCAGATGGGCTGCCACATTCCAACCCAGAGGTGGCAGCATTTTGGCAGCGGGTGAAGTTACAGAAGCTTGTATAACTCAATACAGAGCACTTGCGTTTTAGTGTTTTTCTTCCTGTGCGTATGGTCTGTAAAGCACTCTGGAATGTAGTGTGGTAGAAGGTGGTACATAAATCCAACCAAAGTACTTCAACAATTGTCTTTTAGATACTCTTACATATAAAACTTGCTCTAGACAGTAGTGCATATGGCATAACTAATGCATTAGGGAATCCGGTCCCCATTGTTCATTCCCTAAACACCAAGGAGTCAAATCATGCCAAAACCAATTCTGTGCAACTTAAATCTGATAACCCAGGTGATTCTTACTATACCTAGATTCACAGATCATAAGGATATGAGCCATGGGTTATGCATCAAAAACAAAAGTAGTCATTTAAAAGCAACTCAGGAACGGGCAATTAGCTATTTAAGCTTCAAGCTACATTAAAGGATCCTTAAAGGATGCAAACTAAAACTCAAGGTTTAAAAAAAAAAAAAAAAACCACAACTGAAAACACCACAAGAGTTTGTGCCTGAAACTACAGGAAGATTACAGTAAGGATACTCTACATGCCACGTTCATCTGACTCCGGCCACAGAACTTCGGGAGAGGCTGGTCAGTCAGGCACACCCCACAAGATGGCACCAACTGACCACCGCGACTCACTTGTACAGAGAAGGCACCGCACTCGAATCACCTCTGTACCAGCAGAAAGCAACTTCTTCTGGGGAACTGTGGAATTCTTAAGGCTTCAGGATTTTTAAAATTGAAATTGAATGAAATGCCAAGGAAAGAACTAACAGCACAACTTTGAGGCAGTGAGATAGACAGAAGTGCCTTTTTATCCTCTCCCTGAAATAAATTCTAACCAAGTCAACTTCAAACTATAGCCTTAGTTAAAAATCAAGCATTCAATCTCAGCTTTCCCACCTTTAACATGGGAGAGGCCCTTTCCTAGCATTAGAAGATTTGTCTGTAGAATTCTGCAAAGACCAAAAGAACAAGTATAAAATGAAGAGATACCTTTACTGCTATGATTTTATCTGATTGATAGCAGAAGGAAAAAAAGACATCTTAGGTCACAGTTACATACATACTCACTCAAGGGCAACTTTTGTTTCCCCCACTACAGTAAAATCTGAAGTAATTATCACAGCCAAGTAGAGTCATTGTAAAACAACCAACTTCAGCTTCCCCAAGGTCTTTGAGTCCAATCCCCCCTTTTTTGTTTTCACTTTAAACACTCTTTAGACCACAGCTAAAGAGTATTTAAAGAGAAATTAGTTTCTAACAGTGTCAGAAAGTTCTCAATGTCTTCACTCTTAAATGTAATTTCTTTAATCACTTATTACACAGGCATGCACTTTGTGTAACGTTTTTTATAAAAGCATGCTCCTTTTCTTTTTAAAAAGAGAATGAACAGCAAAAAACTTTAAGTATACTTTAATTAGTTAGCACTTACCTCCTGCTCCTGTTGAAAGATGACCACTCTACCTCCTTTGTCTCCTGTTGCTAACAGCTCTCCAGAATGGTTAAATTCTACTGTGGAAATTATATCCGCTGCATAGGAACAAAAAAAAACCCCGCAAGTCAATAATTCTTCTAAATACTGAATGGCCAAGAAAGCTACAAGTAAAAAAAAAGCATACTTCAATTCAGTTTAAGTATACTTTTGTTATAAAATACAAGTAGGGATTTCTTCAAAAATATAGAAGTAATTTTTTAAAGCTGTACATTTGAAAACCAGTTACTAATTCACCATGCCAGACTTACAAGCTCAGTGTTGTGCCCTGAATTGTTTTTAAAGGCTTTATATCATCACTTCTTTGAACTGTTTTTTGTTATGACTGCTACTTTAGTATAGAAATGGATTTTCAGTATGTACTGTAACAGCAGAGACTGTATATATACATGTTGCTACATTTATTTTCTCCATTCTTTCTGATAAAAGATTTAGATACAATCATTACCCATATGATCACAAAGCTTTTTTTTTTTTTTTTTTTTTTTTTTTTTTTAAGGACTCTACACATGTGACAACTTAAGGGCAAAACATATTAGGGTGGAGATGTTCAGACATCAGTGTCTAAGGAATGCAAGGATGTGGAACAAAAACAGCTACCAAAAATAAGGAAATAAATTCAACAGTCTCTAAAAAAACTTGAGTACCTCTTCTGGATGAGGAAGGTTTACATTATCACAGGTATTTTTATATGGATTGCTAAGATTAAATTGTGAATATACATTGACAAAAAACCCAAGTCATGCCTAGTATCAAACTGATCTGTTTATACAGCAAAAAGAACAAGTTACAACTTAAGCTCAGGCACACCAATTCCCATTTTCAAACACACACATGCCCTTCATACTCTCAAACAGTAGAATCAGAAGCCAAACCGTTCTTCAAATGCCAACTTCAAACTGCAATATAACTATCTAATCTACTTTTCTGCAGAAGAAACTACCTAAGATTTTTACATATGCAAGTCCTCAGGCTACTTTGCTTTCATGTCAGTCTGATGTAGATGAGCAATGAATCTGTGTCTTCTATTGGATGGTTTCTTCATTCTCTGTTTTAGAGTTAAAAAGGGTCTGGTACCTGCTCTACAGACTGAAAGCTACTGCTAAACAAAAGCTACTCAGTCTGAATTTAAACAGACACTACAGTGCAGCATATCATGGAAGCTATCTTACCATAGACAGCAGTAGGGTTATTTGATTTTGAAGAAGTGAAACATGCAGGATTTTCTTCTTATTCATTTTAATACCAAAATGAAACTTACATCATTCTTGGGTTGTCCCAAACACACGGGCAGTGGCCTCTGGACATGAACAAGCTGTTCTTTAATAACTGCATTACCCAGCAGCTACAAGCATGCAGCATACCTATGAAAACTGCACAATGCAAAGACAGCCTGGACAAGCAGGCCAAACTCAGCTGCAAAATCCTCAGAGGCAAAAGATGCAGAGTCAGATTCTTGGCACGAACGGGTATGTACAGCTCAGTTGTGCTTTCTATATATACAGCACAAACTGCCATATAACAAAGGATAAACACAAGATGATCCTATCTCCATCGGCCTCCCTTGCTGTGATTATCTGGCACTGCTGAAACACAAACAGGCTAAAATTTCTCAAGAACACTGTGTTAAGGACATAAATATGATGTAAGCTTGTATGTAGATAAACCTGGATTCAGATCACACATAGAAAAACCTTGATTTGAGTGCACATAATTTTTTCTTTTCCGCCCTGGAAGTTAACAGTTACTTCAGCCATTCATTCACGTGTTTGTGAACAAGATTAAGTGACTTGTCTCGCATCTGTAAGACTTAAGACTGCATACCATTCAGATGAAGATATGGCATTCAATATCCACCTTTCACAGGTGAACAGGACAAAGATAACATACAATTAATCAAATCCAGTATGCAGAAAGAGTGAAGTGCAAACCAAGCAGTCTAGTTTTGTCTATTGCATACAATGCAACCACATCCTTGTATTCCTCTGATAAGACCTTAAGGAAGTTATCAAGTAATTGAAGAAAAACATGATCACTCACCTTCTCAATCAATAGTGAGAAGTGTACAGAATAATTACTATTTTGAAGAACATTGAGAGATCTAACACTGCAAGCTATGCCAGTCTTAAAACAGAAAAGATGATAAAGCAAGTCACCAGCAGATCTAAATGTACATGTATGTGGAAGGAGAACACCAAAGAAAAGTTTGCCTTAAAAATCTTATATATCCGTCTAAGAACAGATGGATAAATTCATCATAAGTACCTATTTGGTGAAAGTCACTGAAAAGTTCTACAAGGTCAAAAGCCTTAGGCTTGAAGCCTTATGATTAGAACAGGCAGCAACAAAAGCCAGAAAAGCCTTAAATTAAGGGATAAAACCTCCGTTTTCTTAGGTCTGCTGCTGTAATATATATTGTATTTAATAATTATAGAAGTCTCATATACAGCAGAAAGCTAACCACTTTTCTGTAACCATTCTAGACATTATTACTTTTTGCATTTATTTTGAGATTATCCAAGCCTGACATCAGTGATCTCCAAGCTGATACAAATCCTGCTTTGTCTATAGACTCAACTGCGTGAACAAACTTTCGGTACTAACATCCCCACACCTTCAAAAAATCCAGCAGGTTCAGTCAGTGGCGACAGGGTAGTCGAAACTCTCTCCAGTGCCTGATGAACACTATGCAGAAAATCTTTTCAAATACTTGGATCAATTTTAAATTAGAAACAAAATACATTCCTTAGCAGCAATCATAACAGAAAATTATTAAATAATTTTTAAACTCAAGATACCTCTATAGAATCCAACATGCCTTCTACACTGTAATCTTGAACTGTTCCCTTTCCAAGGACAAAACAAACATGCTAAAAAAGCAGGCAGAAAAATTATGTCTACTTCACTAGTCCCAAACCAGGGCTGAGATGCCTATTTTATACAAAAATCAGTACTGGAGAGCAAAGCAACCAATCATACTTTTTAAATCCAATAACTCACCATTAAGAATATTGTATTCGCATACCTTGGTCAAAGAAAGAGACTGACATCAAGGCACTGGTGTTGAACTGGGCGGATTTAATAGTGTTTGAGAATTGACAGGGGAAGCATTTCATCTTCCGCAGTGCACTGATTCGCTTGTGTATTTTCATCTGTATTAACACCCTCGTTGCCAACAAAAAAAAAAATCAATGTTATCCTTTTCTTTTCAAATGTAACTATAATCCCCGTGATAGTTACATGTAGGGTTATTTTAGTCCTTCAGCACCGCAACGGGCAAAAGAGCAGCTATAGAACATGCTGCCTTCTTTGCCTCCTCCCTTTTGTGCATGCTATTTTTGCTACAGTCTCTAGGTGGGAGTCTTGCAAACACAGAGGGCTGCTCTCACGGTCCAGAAGCCTGTAAAGGATCCCTTCTATACGCAAAGAGCACCAGGGAAGAATATTTAAGGGAGAAGCAGACGTTTAGTGCTCTATTGTCACCAACACCAATGGCTTCTAGAACTATCACGGATTCTGTTGTTTACTGCTGAATTCATTTCAATGCCCTCTTCTTCAAGCACCAATATCAGAGATAAATAACCACCAAAACCTTATCTGATAACCATACCCCTCACAGTTTACAGTTAAATAGCATTATCTGTTAACAGACTTCCACAAAGTCACCCAAGCCTTGGAGATCAGATTTGTCTCTCTTCTCCCCCACGAGCATCTTGAGACATCTTTGACACCAAGATGAAGCGTGACATTTCAAGTGCTGAGGTTTTAAAACACTACGGGGCATCAAACACACAGGATGAAGACATCATTCTGACAAAACCAAAAATAGGACAGAAATGTGTATCTACATTCCCATAGTGTACCTACAATCCTGCAATACCTGTACTAAGTTTCTCTCTTGCATAATTTGGGATAGACAGCTCAGGGGTCAGTATAGTGCTTACGTGTACTTCTTTGCACAGATGTCCTTTAGTTCCACTTAAATATCCCTTCATAGACACTTATTGTTAACACTATAGAAACACTTCCGAGACTACTAAATACTTCCAAATAATGGTTTTCAGTGACCTGAAAGCAAAGGGTGGGGGAAAATCACCTACACAACCTGAAGTCCATCTACTGTTGGTGCACACGTACATCACCGAGTGAAAATGTTTTGCAGCAGGTTGAGTGAAACGCTATGAATCAAAAGAACTACTGTACAGTTGTATCTCTACCTCAAAGAAACAAAACACGACAGCCAAACCGAGCCAGTGATCTTAAAAATCCCACCAAACTCTGAAGAGAGGCTTCCTATCTCTGACCTATCAGCACACACCAACAGGGCAGAGTCTGCTTTCCCAGGAGTCCTCAAAACCTCCTGACAGTTCTCCCAGATACAGCAACTACAATCTAGTTTCTTGCAATTGCTGTCAAGGTTGTTTTTTCTTCTGTATGATCTTTATTTTCCTAACCTGGTCCAAGCTTTATATGTATTCCTTCAACGATACATCTTCACTTTAAGTGCTCCAATAGAAATCAAGAACACCGCAAGGTCCGGACAATTATCTTCACTAGATTTAGGACAAGATTTTCCCATGGTAGACATGGAGACACGAACTTGAAGAACCAAAGGAATCAAAACAAGGTGTCTAGCTTTGACAGAGAATGGGACAGGGGAAAGATATTTATCTCAAAGTTTTGATAATGCTTAAAGTAACGTCTTCACAGTTCACCATGTGAAAGGGAGACATACCAGAAGCTCACAAGCAATTCTTAACCAGTGGCAGACACACACTTCTGCTCATTAATCATCTCTCAAGAGAACAGCCACCCAACACAAACCTAACTTATCTTCAGAAGCGCAGTAGGAAACAAGTCACAATTTCAGAATTCTTAGTCAATATTTATTACACCAACTTTTGCTATTTTGAGTAATTCACCTGTCATGTGAGGCAGGATACAGATGGTTTGAAAAACTGCGGCACTGAGCCAGTGCTCTTCTGAAAGATAGACAGATTCTACTGTTCAAAGATAGATGAATAAAGGCATCTGACAGATCTCAAATGCCTTTACCCCCTTTAAAGGAAAGCAACGTTTGAAATAAGAAAAACTCAGTGACAGATATTAAAAAACATTTTCACACTTTGGGGGTCTTCCACGCTTTTCAGTGAATGCTAACTAAGAACCACACATGCACTATCACGAGCAAGTTTTCTGAAACATTAGAGAAAGGGTTGTGCTGAAGTTTTACTGCTGTCAACAAGTCTATGGAATAAAGGAATAAAACAGCTTTATCAATCCAAACAAGCAAAAAAAATACTGTAATCCAATGATTTAGCTCCAGAAGGCCCATTGTGAACCTGAAAAGCAATTCTGTATTAAATTTGTTTCCAATAATAGAATAAAAGGTATTTTATTAGTACAGAAGAGGCTATCTATTTTAATGTACCATGAACTTTATATAAACTCTGCTTATAAAACATGCTTGGTAGGCAAAACATGTCACCTACTCTACAGCAGCAAGTCAGTCATGGCAGTGAACAAAGAGCGTCTTTATTTCACCAGACCTGAAAGGTTTCTGTGCAAGTTTTTGGAATCGCATTGATCTGCTGCCTAAGCAGAGAGCAAGTAAATCAGTATGTTTACACAAGTGGAGCAATCTCCTGATGTTTCCAAGGTCTGAACAAAGAATTGTAGTATTTAAAAAGCATTTTGGTACTTCTTCATTGTTTATACACCTTCCCAGTGGCTCAAAATACCATTTCTGGAATTTTCCAAAGGAGCACTCAAACAAATCTCATCCATAATGTAGAGCAGATTACTTACAGGTTGGTAATTCTGTCCTAAGGAGTAAAAAGACAATTCACTGACCAAATGTGGAGCCCACTTCCTCAGTTTGCCAGCCTTAAGTATAGAAGCAGCTATTTTGATCAAAATAAACATCAATTGATCGTTCCAAGGATACTTCAGAAGCTGTCTGGAACGGGAAACATTAAGAAACCAACTTCTAGGATTATTATTAAAAGCCAAGGAAGCTCAAAGGGCCTAAAATTGAGGAAGCAGCACAGGAAAGGATAAACAGCATAAGGGATAAAGACAGTGAAATATTTGAATTCAGCACACAAATTACTGAGAATACCTGAGCCATTCTTCCTAGATTATCTCTAAAGATAAAGTCAATGCACTCAAAACTGAGCAAGAGCATCTGTTCAGGAGAACTTGCAGACCTTAAGCATCTGGAAGTGACTTGTGAATTGTTTGGTCCTATGTAATCCAGGGTGAAGCAAAACATCCCTGCTTCAGACTGCTGAACAGATGCAACTTCCAAAAACTCAAGCTCAAGTCACAGCTAATGACAGAAAATTCTAACTTTTTATTGGACTTTCTTGTTTCCAGTAACGATTTTGTTTTGGAGTTATGTACTTCATTGTTGGGGGAAAAAACAAACAAACAAACAACCCAAAAAACAACCAAAAACACTAGAGAGAAAACAAAAGCTCCTCCAAGGCTTCATATATTTTAAGAAGCTACACAATGCACTCTGAATGTCTGAGTCATCCCAGCATCACTCCATTGTTTGCATGATTTTGATTTACCACACTTATCAAGAGTTCTAATATATTGTGTATTAAAATCTCTGAAGCTAGATAGTGAAGTGTTAATCTTGAAGTGAACAGGAAGGCTGTTTAAATAAGATTAAGAGTGACTATACAGGCATGTTTGCAGAGAAGAGAGCTCCCAACACAGGATAACCACAACTATACGCATCAGGGAAAGAGAGCAAAATGGCAAGCACTATTTTACTACTGATGGTATAAAAGAAAACACCCTCTGCATTCCAGCCTCATCCCTAATTTATGTATGTAGAGAGGGGAAGAGAACACAAGGATTGTATACTTTAAAGTTACCATGACCGGGTTTACTATTGACTTCATTTCCCTTTTCTTCATTCACTTTCAAGAGCAATTCTCTGCATTCATTCCGTCTCTCAGAAGTCACTAGGCAACAAAACCAAAGGCAGCTGGGATAAGGCATTCCTACTGTTCAATTTACTTCTCAAGACTCATTCCAGAAGTCCTTTAAATAGATCTCTTCTCTACTAGGGGAGGGCATTAAAAATGTATTAATTCCTCAGAAATATGGGGACAGGATGAAATACATGCAACACAGAAGCAAAGAAAGGGATTACCCTTGTGGCAAAAATTCTCACTCCTGTGCCCATGAAGCATTGCAAGAGCCAGCTGGTTACTCATTCTCTCTTAAGTACCAGTCCTGCAATACTGCTCCACACAAAGAGCACACAAAGCTCCCCTCCTTAACAGGGAGGGGAGTGGAATTTGCATGATGGCCAGCTAGCTTCACACTGCTGCTGGCCCCACCAGTGTTAGAATGCAAACATGCAGGAGCTGATGACATAGTTCAAGCAGCAGACAGTAATTAAGCTGGTTTTGTTGGCATGTGCAAATCTGGGAAATCTACGCACAGGGAAGAAAGATTTACAGAGTGTTCCCTAGCATCCACGTTCATTCCAAGTGCTGCAGGCCTTGTGATGCTGAGAACAAAAACCATGCAATCATGAACTCGTCATTTTCCCCACTGATTCTGAAAACATTCTAGTCCTGTTTGGTAAAGATGTATTTAAGTGTTGAGACTCTCCCAGTCCTATTTACACATGTATCTATGTGTAATATACACACACAAGATAAATCTCCAAATCGTAAATACAGGTAGCACATCACATTCGAAGTTCACTGCATGAACTACTCACCGTAAGTAAAATAACCAAATATAAACCTTGTCAAGCAGTCCTAGAACCCCATACTTTCCCCCTATTTCTTGGGCTTTCCTATATTCCCACTTCTTTTCTTTCATTCACTTTTTCTTCTCCCCTTCTCTCTCCAACTTTGCCAGTCTTTGAGGAAAAATATCACTTTCTAGAACAGGCAAGTCCTAGTTCAACTAGGAGTTCAACTAGGGATTTGAAAGCCTGAGTGATTTACTCATCATTATTATTACACATCTTATTTTTAACTTTCTATTCAGTTCCCTAAAATAAAGGTTGGACCCCTCTTGATAAAGCTTTTTCCTGTAGCTTCCTAAGTTACCTTAACATGACCAATGCCTACCGTGCAACTCTGATTCAGTTCGCTGTGGGCTGATAGGTAAGCAGGGCCCACATAGTA